AAGTGTAAATTTATTTTACCTATGGAATAAATAATCTTTGACTTTGAGTTGAGGTGAAAAGTTGTGTTTCGCGCAGCAGCAAGGTTGTTTTGCATATCATGCCTTGAAACCCTCTCTACGCCCAGGAATCTATTTTTGAACTAATGTTAAATGCGGTTCAATCATAGCTTCCTGCGCTCGCTCAGGTTTCACTACAAGCAACAACAAACAACAACTTTGCAGCCTTGCGTAACAAATAACTATTATAAAAAAAATAATTCTTGAAATTTAGTTTTAAATGCGCTTGCCGCCATTGTGGCCGCTTATCAATGTCGTACAACCCTAAACTTCAATATTTTATTGCCTCATAAAGTTTTACGTCACATTTTGCGAAAACAGGTACAGCATCCTGATTTATTTGAAATTGTCGTTTCCTTTGTGGCATTTTTACTTTGTTAGGCGAAGTAGTTTGTAGTTTGAGCTGATTATGTTTTCTTTTTATGTTATTTTGTGCCGCAATACATTGTGTATTGAGAATATGTGTGTGGGTTTGTCTTTGGAATTTGCTTATTTAGAAATATCTATGGATAAAAGATGCCAAGTCAAATTGGCCGAAGTTACTCTTTGTAGACTCTCTATCTGATATTCTACTCTAGCATTAAGCTAGACTCAAGTTTGGTATATGCTTTCTGTTATATGGACTTTTTTAACAAGGTACGGAATTTAACCCAGATTTGTTTGATTACTTGTAGTGTTTTTTTATTTTTTTCCGTCATAAAACAGTAGACACAATTAAAACTTATTCCTAATTTTAAACCGACTTGAAAAAAGGAGGTTCTCAATTCGACTGCATTTTTTTATGTGTATATTACGCGATATTTCGACATTTGTGAATCGATTTCAACGATTCCTTTTTTTTGTTGGAAAGGTGATAACACTGTAGTGTGCAGTGACGAAGCGTCCATATAACTCGATTCCCACCGGCTTGCCTAAAATTTTCCACGCACCACCAGAAGATTCAATATATTCAATAATACGGAGTAGGATGGATCTCGGCATCTCTGCCAATCAAAGTGCGCGGTCTAACCCGCACCCCGGTCGGATCCCGGCTTCTATTTCATTCATGAAAACCTAGGCGCTCATATCAAAATACACACATTTGTAAGACCTAATAGTGGCAGCTGAAAACTCGAAAACCTACGAGTCATATAGTATCTTGTGTGTTAATAAGTGTTACGTTTGAGTGTCACAAGGTGCCATTTTAACTGAAAAAGAAGTTTTTGTTAAGGTAGATTGTTATGTTGGACCGGCTTTACTAACGGTTATTTTTACGCCTTGCCAATGGTAGTGTGCCTATTCGAATTTGAAGAAAATATTCCACGTCTAAGGGTGGCAAATTAGGGGACGAATACGGTATATTGGATGTCACCCATTTTCCGTTAACCGATTTCAAAAAACTTGGCATAGATGTAACGAACACAGCGAAAGCGAATAATCAAAATTTTTTAGGTTGGTTTTTTGCTGTAACTATGTAATTGTGTCACCGGCATCGTTAATCACTAATTACTACAACAACGCTGAGAACTGGTAGTGCACATCAAGAATAAACAACTAAATAAATAGTTATATACACATTCACCGTTGTGCCAAAGTCTACTAAATTATTGCGTACCTATAGGGGGAAGTACGTACAAAACTGTACTGCTCAAACTAGAGAGAGCACAGAGAGCCGTCCTTAAAGTCATATCTTTTGAGCGTAGAGACTATCCGACAAGAGAACTTTACTTAGATTGTAGAGTTCTTATAGTGAGGCTGTTATATATCTTACATGCTATACTTCGCCGTCACTCTGCATTACATTTGGACAAAAAACCATTCTACGCATATCTAGTGCTCTTGTCTGTCTTGTAGTACAGTGTCGCACCGCTTTTACGAATCGTCAATTTCTTGCTCAGAGCTCAAGACTCTACAAGAAGGTCAATAAAATTGTACATATTTATACAGTAAGAAAATTCGAAGTTAAGCAAAGATTGGTCACATGGTTATTAACATTAAATTATGAAGAGACCGAACAGCTTCTTATAACGGCATTTAGTGGAGAGTATTTAAATTTAGAAGATTAGATATTTATTACTTTTTCTTGTAGTGATGTAGCTATAGTATTATAATCCTATTGTAACCACAACATTTTCACCTGTCCATAATTGTTTAAAATGTTTATGCCTTGATTTAGAGAATCTCCTCCTCGTAAAACACAGGTCTAATGCCTAGCTTAGGAGTCGGAAACTCATATATAATTATGAATTATATTGTACGTCCTTAAGTACTTGTAACATTTTGTGTAACCTGCACACGTAAAGTACGAAATAAATATTATTATTATTAATAATTCAAACCAATAAAACTACTAATATAACTTACCCCAGACCACGGCCCAGCTATCCAAGCAGGGCAATCATGGCTATTGCAAGATTGTGTAGACCTCGGCGCCGGAGAGATACAACCAGGTTCCGAACTGGAGCCAGCCTCGTATGTGTCCGCTCTGGTGACGTTGGCTGATCTGGCGCAAAGAACGCGGCGTGTTCGGATTCCACCACCGCAGGAGACGCTGCAGGATGACCATTCGCCGACGTACCACCTGACGGGGGTAACATTGGTTAATGTTTGTAATTGGTTAATTCTTATCGGTTTTCTTATCAGTTGACTTTCTTTTTTTGTTGCTGTCAGCTGTTGCTGCTGTTGATTGTACCAGCCCAGACCGGCTCAGCTTGAGCTTGCGTGTCGGCGCATGACGGTAAATTACTGCATAAATCATGTAAATTGTTTTAATATTCTTTGTTTTCATTTCTTATTATTGTTTTTTTGTTTATATATGTGCCTGTGCTTGTGCATTCAACAGTTTTCTTTCTTTCTAATTATATTTATATACTTTTCATTGAAAGTTGATAACCTATTTGCCTGTCATTTTTTCTGCTATATATAGGGTTATTAATATTATACTGACAACCTCGCATGACTATGCCATGAATATAATATAACCAACATCATAAACAACAAT